CGTAAAAAGAACTCAGTTACACAACTATAAATGGCACACACAATGTCCGAAGGTTCAGGAAACGTCCTGCTCGACAGACTTTCGTGGGGGATGTACACTTCGGGAACGCAGAGAGAAAATTATGTCCCTCGCCAAGCCCGACGCAGCGCAAGTCGGTTTCCCCTCAAGCGCTACATAAAGTTTGGCGCATGCGACTTTTTCTTCGCCACTGAGGAGTTGGCGGTGAAATGAGAAGGAACTCTCTCTGGCTTCGCCATATAGTTAACTCTACGATCATTCAGAGCCATAGACAGGCGCGATCGGTCTTACACGATCGGTTGACATGCACTCGCGCAGACGATAATCTTATCATCTGCGTTTTCAACGCACCAGCCTAGCGCCTGTACCACGAGTGGTAACTTTAGCCCACCCCCCACGCTTTCCACTTGCTTTCTAAGATTTACAGAGAGTAAATAATTTATTTATTTATTATTTTTTTTAATGACGATTGGCAAGGTCCTGATTGGAACCGTTGGAATCCGAACTACTAATTGAAAAGTTATACTAACAAGTTTCAGTTAATTTTCCGACTTATCGCGACGATTAGACCCTGTATATTATGTACCCCTGGCTGCATAACTTATCTGCACAGACCGCATTAATGTAACTTTCACAGCAAAAAAAAAAAAAAAAAAAAGTTTTAAAGGCGGTGGCAACGCAGAAGTGAAAATGGCGGCAAGAGATGATGCGGCGAAGCACTCCGCCGCCTCGTCCCCCACGGACCTGTAGAAACTGACATGTTTATCGCGTCTGGGTCACCAGGGTAAGAATATTCAATCGACGTTTTATTTTTCCTTCACCGAGAAAGACGCTAGTTGAAGCCAAAATGCTAGGGCAACGTTCCCAAAATCCCAAAGGCCAAAAACACCGGGAGCGGCTTACACTTCTGACAGTCATTAATATACAACCCAAATTATAAGCGACTGTAATGTTGTTGTTTTCTTTTTTCGCGAAGTTATTGACTTTTTTTTTTTCTGACTTTAAACTGAGCCTCAACTGGCCACACCGAAAGCGTGTTACCGCCGTAGGGGGATACCCCACTTCTCCCTTGAGTGCGCCGATGGATTGATGGCTGGACGGCGGCTATTTCAATTCAATTCGTTTCTTTACTCCCATCATCATTATGGCTGACGGGGATAGGGGAACAAAGCTGCAGAAGTGCAACTTGACAAAGCCCCGATCGGCCGACAGGAAAAAATAACACTAAATGAAAGGCCGCAAGAAACAATCGGTGCTATGCGGGAATAAATAGTAAAAGTTTTAGGTAAATATTTTGCGTATTGTTTTTTTTTTTGTTTTTTTTTATGATGTGCATTGAGACAAACATTTTAGTATTTTAAAAAGTTTAGCACTCTTGGTAATGTTTACTGTACCATTTGAAGCCCGTAGGTTGTTCCAGGACGAGGCACCCTGAAGGATCCAGCTACTCCATATACAATATTTTTGACACTTACTTTAGAAATCCCGGGTAACGCGTGGTTAAAAAATTTAAGGCATGCCGCGTGGTTTACTGCCGCAAACTTAAACTTAAAATTTTCTCGTTTTGTTTTTACCTTATGTTAAAAGAAGAAGTGGTTCAGTGTGTGCGTAATACGATGTATTAGTAGTTACGACTCGAATTGCTCTCTTCCGCAACAAATACAGTTTATAAGGTCCCTTCAAATCGGGCGGTGACTTGCGCCACCTAGCCAAGCAGAGTTTTAGTTTTACACCGAATTCCGACTTAATTAATTTAATCAAATTTAATCTATCCGTCTCTCGATATTCGCCACCATTCCTAAAATCTTCTCTTACTGATGTCTACTTCTTGAAAACGGTTCGCTTCACCGTTTCCATCGAATCCCAAAGCTCCGAGGAAGTCGGCCTCTTCGCGTAATGTCCTAGGGTGGCCAAACATCCCCCCCCCCCTCTCCCAAATTCCATAATGATCTGGCGTTTCGATTCCCTCCCCACACACACCGTGCATATTGTGCCCACCTCTTGAAATTCGGCCCTGTACGTCCTGGTTCTCAAAAACCCAGTCCTAGCCTTAAAGAATAACTGACTACCTCGAGAATTATGGATTACTCTTTCCTTTCTAATATTAGTTTTCCTTGCCCGGTGAATTCCTAAATCTGGCTTTTTCTGCACTCTTGTCTGCCACATGTATCTCTTCCCTGTCCGCCCAACTTCCTCGGTGCTACACCAGTGCCTCGACGGCCAGTCGTCGGGTTCGTTTTCTCCATCTCCGTGTCACCTAAATATTCTTCCCTGCCCATCTCTCTTCATCCATTTCACGCAGCCGTACCTCAAATTCCAGATTGCTATCTGCCCCCCTTGACGACCGGCCCAGACCTCCCCTGTACGCCTTCATTAGAGGTCTTCCCATGAGCCCATAGTGGCAACCTTCCTACGCCAGGCTGTTTGACCTTCAGTTTCGACTGCACCTCCGGTATCATGCACAAGACAGCATTTCCAAATGTCAAACCAGGCACCGTAACCCCTTTCCGGATACGTCCCGTCGTCGGAAGCGTCGTCTAGATTTTCGTTTTATAACTGTGTGATAGAATACGGCGAAACCCCATCTAGACGCTGTGCTTCGAAACATATACGCGTTTTCCATAGAATACACTGCAGTTATTAACTTGGCAGTTATGAGCCGTCCCCCAAAAGTGAATGGTGGCGCGTCGAACGATGGGAGGCGAGCCGTGGGGGGAGACGGGGGGGTTACTGCCCGGGCAAGCAGCGTCTATGGACAGTTCCGTAACTGAGCTAATCTAATAATGTTGACGGGTGCATTGCAGCTTGTTCCCGATGGGTCACGAGAAGTTTGATGGCGTGAAATGAACAGTGGAGAAGCTCATATCAGTAAAACAAGAAAGGAAAAAAATAAACGCTAAATATTGTGTTTTTTAGACTGCCTGCTCGACTTTCAAGTACATAATACGACATGTGGCGTCACTTCTCTGGAGAGCGCGGCAAGATAATGTTAGTTCTGGAATGACTTTCATCGGCCGTTTTCTCAATAGCTATTTTGAATCTAGAGGCATTGAATATTGTCACGGATGACAAGTGATGAGGTGCCGAATAACTGAGTAAACTAAACGTTTAATCGGGCGAAGTTGTGCCCAAAAATAAAGAAGGAAACAGAAGAAAGAAGAGCGTCGCGGGCGTCGAAGTCGGCGTGTCAGCAGAGTCGAACGGTGGGCCGAAAAACTGATTCGACAAGGTCGCGGGCGGCCTCTTATCTAAAGTGAGTCACTGTCTCGAAGATTCGGCGGAGAAGGTTCGAGCGTAGCGCGCTCGGGCGAGAATGGACACGCACTTTCTAGAACAACAAAAGCAGGGATAAACGATAGAAATTACTTCCGCAGCGAGAATAAACGAGAACTTTCTACAAGTCCGTGACCCTGCGCGCGGCAATATCATCCTGGAAAGAGTAGAGCCTGGGTATTCTAAAAATGAAAACAGCTAAGGAGAACTCCATTAAGCAATTTATAAATATTTAAAGAGACGTGCACGGGCTGTATGCGAGCGCCCCGCGTGGACAGAACTAAACAAACTCGCTGCCCTCGAACTACGAACCTGAACGCCAGTTCGCAACTGGCGGTTTCGAAATTTCACGCACTTTTCTTTAAACCCTACGGTCGTGGAAGGTGGAACACTACCGCGGGGACTACGGGGAATCGCGTTTGATTTCATACCCACGTTATTGGGCGAGAACAAAGTTAATCAAAATTCTTCGAATATGCAGTGCCGTCCGCGTTCGGCCACGCCTACAGAAGACACCGCCCTTTACCGAAATAAATCGAGCAAAATACATTTAAAAAAAAAAAAAAAGTTGGTAGATTTGATTAAGAATTGATAGACGCGGGAAAAATCGGAGGCAGGCCTATTGAACTCGCCTGACTGTAACACGGAATTTGGCGAGGTGTCCCCGAATAGAACTCATCTCCCCGCGGAGATCCAAAAAAGATCCGTTTGGTTCATCGACGTCTTCTCGGCCAATTAATGTGTCCGAGCCCTCCTCCCGTCCATTAGCTGCTTTCCCTCTCTGCTCCGCGCAGAAGGTCGAATACGTCCGGCGCGACGACGTCTTGATTAGGACCGTCGCTACCTTCCCCGCCAAACTCTCCGGGGCTAATGGGCAGTCAGACGTCGGGCAACCTCGGCCGGGAGCCGAGATAACGGGCCCCGTCGGAACAGTTGGCCAGAGTGCCTATATAGACCGACGCGCTGTTTACAAACAAGCCCGCGTTTGCCCACACCGGGTGTGGGCACTGCGCGTGCGCAGAAACGGAATACGCGAAATGTGAAGCGTCTGCACATGCGCAGTGCCGTCGACAGCGCCACCGCAGCTGCGTGACGTCAGGGCCGCGTGTTGGTCTATAGATTCAAGAGCGTTTCCGACTGCTGGATCAGGGTCACGTGCCTGCAAGCGCCTCTGCCCGCTTTTCTCCTTACCACGCGACAACTCGGAGCATGCGCACTTGCGACGAATTCGCTCTCTTAAATCTAGGCTCTCTCTACGGTTGGTGGGAGCACCACGGACCACGTCAAAGGTGCCGCCGGGGGAGGCTGCCCTCGGGACGTCAATATAATGGCCCAATGGGCGTTACAATTACCACTCCTCGACATTTGACGTTGATATTTGGAATCGGTGTCAAATAGTCTCGACTGGAAGACCGGAGGGCGTCCGTCTCGTTTGGAACGTCGCTAACGCGTGAGACACTGGCGCTATCGCCGCATTCCGCTTTTACTTTCAACTGTTGCGATGAGCGACGATATTCTCTCTCTTACTGACGAAGCGAGTTAAGAAAACAACTTCCATGGGACGAACGAGACGCGTTCAATAAAGCCGCAAAGTGAAAGAAAGAGAGAACAAGATCAAACGCGTTATATGCGAGGAAAAGCTGTCAATTTAGTGACATCGTGGACAGCGCGGGCCTCGTCTTCTATACGTGATCGGAGCAAGTTCTCACCGTCGAGGACCCGGATCCTGGGCATGATCTTGACGTTGCGGCTGTTCTCCTTGACGATGGCATGGTAGCCCACCTCCGAGTTGACGTGCTCCAGCCGGGGCGCTGCACGGGAACACCACCAACACACGTTAAGAGAAGAACCGAATGGAAGGCTCTCAGTGTTAGCTCGCTCTTAAAGCTCCTGCAAACGCCTGGTCCCCCAGCATATGCAGTGATGTGATTTGTCCAAGTCAATTTGGAGCACCTTTCGGATCAGCCAAAACGGTGTTTTGGAGCAGCAAAAGTGGCCTTTGGAGCAGGCAAAAAAAAGTGTTTTGGAGCAGCAAAAGTTGCTTTTGGAGCAGCCAAAACAGTGTGTCGGAGCAGCAAAAGTGGCTTTTGGAGCAGATATTCTTAGAAAAATAAACATATTCGCTTTAAGTGCTGGGAGTCTTTCAACATGTAACTGAAATGCCAATGACATGACACATTTTGCAATGCTTCAGTTAAATTATACATATATATATGTACCGTTATAGATAAACAAGAACCAAACTGCACATATTAAACCTTATTTGAAAATGACCAGCTTCTTAGTAAATATCACAGCATTAGGTTGACTACCCCAGTTATATAATATAGTAAATGGAAGCTGACTCCGACTGAGGAAACACGTAACTACTGCAGTGCAATGCGAAATTGTACACAAGACAAAGTTGCATTAAAACTAGCGGGTGCTTTTCTTTTTGCTTTTCGAAACTTTCTACAAGGCTGCTGCAAGCCTCGCTTTGCCTATGGCTATTAATGAATGTCCACTTTCAATGTCTCCAAAGAGACATTGAGACGTCCCACAAGCGAACAGTGCTGTGGGCGTTGCCGAGCAATTCCGAAAAACCGCTTGCCACCGTTTTACTGGTTCCCGACGTACCAGATTTTCGTCAAAAGTAAGCAAACGTAAAAAAAAAAAAAGGGTTACAAGCGTCCCGGCTTGTGCCTCTGTCGTGCAGCCTCTGTCGTGCAGTTACGGTACTCAGTTTAGTTTCGGTTTTGAAAGACGACCAAAATTGGTCTTTTGGCGCAGGCTTGGCGCAGATTACCCATATTTTGGCAAAATGTAGCGTAGCAGGGTTAGCCCCTTGGCGCAGTTTGGCGCGATTTGCGCAGCAATCACATCACTGCATATGGTAGAAGCATTCGAACATTCCTGCAGACAGTATCTTTTGATTTATGTATCAGCAGCACTGCTCATGCATCATACAAAAGACAGTCACGAGTCGCCGCAATGTCCGTGGTTCGAACGCCGCGGGCCAATTTTTCGACTCATTGCCACGAGGCATTCGAAGCACTGATGTCGCGGTGCGTTTGAATCGGTACGCACACTAACGTTTGTACGATGTATAAGGGGCGTAACCGCGTCTTAATGGTGGCCTAAACCGCGCGAACCCCGTCGGGCAGTTGAACACTCTCTCATTCTAGGTACTCTATGGCGCGCAGAACAGCCACAGTCGTCCGGAAAGCGCACCTTGAGCGTTTCTTTTTTTCCTTCGGGAATCTGCGAGGACGAATCGAGCGCCTTCCCCGCGAGTGCAAGCACGCACAAATCGAAACGAGGAAACAACGAGCTGGAGCCCCGGGTGCCGGCCAGCGGCAGGAGCGGACACGTGATCGACCGATCAATGCCCCTTGACGAGGCGTCCCCGAGACAGCTGCCCCGCGTCGGGTGAACGGCCGGCAGAGCGAAGACCGCGGGCCGCCCGAAGGAACCTTTCAACCACACACTCCGGGGGAAACGTCGACTTTCCCGCAGAGCAGGCGGTCGGGTCAGTCACTGCGATCAACGGAGCGGCGCGTTCGGCTCGCTCCCAAGTAGACCCTTTCTCAAAAGTGGGCACCTGCAGCTGCTGCGCCAATAATACGAGACCGCATTGTTCGGGCACCTCTAGTGGACACGGAGCTTTAAGTCAGCGATCGGCTCGTATCCGAAACGCCAAAACAGGTGCTGCGTTAGCGTTCGACGAGCACTCGGATCCAAAAACACGTGCCCAATGGATGGAGGCTAATGACCTTTGTAACGGGCGGTAGCTTGCGCCACCTAGTTACTAAAGTCTAAGAAGACCGAGATACGGCGACCGCCAATGTTGGTCGACGAACTTTTGAAAGAATGCTCTATTCAACGTACATTTTGAAGCACGATGGAGCTTTTCCACACACAAACGGCACCAAGCGGCAGGCGCCCTAACTACGCTCGGTGGCTTCGAATGAGTGAAGAGGTGAACGGCTGAGCCCCTTTATTCGGAAAGGGGCCTCCCCGCGGGGACAAGCCTCAACTACGTGCCGGCAGTTCGAGCTCGTTTCAGCCTAATTTTTAATTGGGGGGGGAAGGGTAATGAATCGTTTTACCCCAATTTCCGGCCTCTTAGCGCTTTCTCTGCGAGCAGAAAGGCGATCGAAGCGAGGCGGGCGAGAACGGACTGTCGGCACGTCGTTCGGCAGCGGTTCTTGGCCAGGCCGGGATGCAAAAGAGTTCCCTCAACTTTTGTCACATCTAGCGAGACGGTGCTTTCCTCTCCGGAAAGACTACGTCGAGCGCAATAACGTCGCTGGAAGAAAAATGGCAGCACATGGGACACGGAGGGGGCGGGATCCGAGGCATCTTCCCACGAAGCCTCCATCAATTCCGCTTCAGTTCACCGACCGTAGTTTTCGCCGCTGCTTGAGGAGAGCGGGACTCTTATTCAAAAGGGTACATTACGGTTATCGAAAACCAAAGGTTGCTCCGGAAAGCTCAAATCAGGATTGCAAAAAATTCCCAAAATAAATGTATTCAAAAATGTCCTTTTTTTCTTTCTTTCTTTCTTTATGATTATACATTCGAACAATAAAGTCGCATACCCGGTGAAATCCTTTCATTGCTTTCGAATAACTCGCGTTTTTTTTTTTTTCAATTCAATGTGAGTAATGCATGTTTTCCCCTGCTTACGGGATATGTATGTTGTTTGTCTTTCCACGGCAGAAGAATTTATGAACGTTTGTACGTTTCTGTGCGGGAGAAAAACGTATTCGCTAAAAAGTAAACGAAAAAACGAAAGAAGTTTACAATCCCCTGTAACGCCGAATTAGAGCGCAGCTCTTGAGGAGGAGGAGGAGGGGAAGGTACGGAGAGGAGGCTATGCCCCGCCTCCTCTCCTGCTCGCCTCTCATTTAAGGGGAAATATTCCCCTAAATTTGGTGGAGCTTTTCCGACTAAATTTAGCGGGGAAAGTTTCCGCTAAATTTAGCGGGGAAATTCTTCCGCTCAATTTAGCGAGGAATTGTGTCCGCTAAATTTAGCGGGGAATTTTGTCCGCTAAATTTAGAGGGGAAATTTTTCCGCTAAATTTAGCGGGGAAGATTTTCAGCTAAATTTATGGGGGAAATTTACCCATAATGCAATGCTCGGCGACGTCATCTATGACGTCACTGGTGACCCTTGTGACGTCACCATGGGAGACGTCTCATGACGTCTCCCATGATGACGTCACAACGCGGCGTCGCCGTCACCGCGTAGTGACGGCGACGCCGCTCAAGCCGGAAACGGACGCCTAAGAGCTGCGCTCTAAAATAGTACCATACCTTCCGCGATAATGCCAATAATGCCCCTTGGACGGTGCAGTATAAAATAAACAAATCGACGGGGGGTACGCGTTCATAGCCCGTCGGAGTTCCCACGCGGGGCGCTCTGAAACGCCGCGTGTGAAAAGCAGAAAATCAACGGCGTGGCTCGATTCGTATTTGTCGCGGTACTTTGACATCAAAACACGAAACCGTGCGACGAAAACGGCTAATGCGGCTTTGCACCGGTTTCCAGCAAAGCCGCGTTTTTACATTTGCTTAGGCCAACGCGCTGTCTACGAACAAGAGGTGTGGCCGCTGCGCATGCGTAGATAACAGACTCGCGTGAAGCCTCTGCGCCACGTACAAAGCGACCACAGCGCCGCCACTTTCGTTCCACGCACTCGCACGAAGTCGACGATCAGAAACCTCGATCGGAGACGCGTGTGTGTGCATTGTACTCGTGTCGGGAACAAAGGAGGAGCCATCTTCCAGCGGGAGCCGCTGACGAGGCGAACTCGAGAACGCCCGCACGCTCGTCATCAATTCGTCCCCCTAAATAAAAGTGCGTATCCAATTTTTCCTAGTCCGTCCGCATTAGCGGCGAGCCACGCCGACCGCACCCTCATTGTGCGCGCGCGAGCCAAAAAGAAGCCACCCGGCGGAAAATAGGGGAAAGGGGAACGCATTTTCTAGGGAAGGCAAGCAGATCTTCGTCCCTGCACGCCATTCACAGCGAGAACCAACCGAGCCAGAAACAAAATGCGACACGAGAGGGAGAGAGAGGGAAAAGTAAATCAAGTTTAAATCTCGGAAAATGGGCGCAGCTAAATGGCGCGTCCCCAATTTTGCATACGCGGGTGGAGGAGGCGGCGGCGGCATCGTGGGGGAAAAGAGGAAATGGCCCCGAGCACACCCCGAGCGCAGCCTTTTTTCCCCACGCTCTCTTCGGGATCCTGATGGAGCGAGGACATCTCAGCGCGCGTCTCGTGCAGGAAAGAATCGCTTTTAAATGGGCTCAGACGGCGCCAAGTTTCGATAACGTTCATTTTGTGCCTCATACTTCCTATGTACACTATTTACCGTTATTGACGCCGTGTTCGCTAAAGTGTTCGGTGCCGCAAAAACACGTCCTCCTTGGTGAACAGAATGCTAGGGCGTAAACGAGCTAGTGATGGTTGAACGTACACTATCAGAAAAAAAAAAAAGAAGGTACAGTCTTACGCCCCCTTGTCCCATATAATCCACCCCAAAATTTGACTTGGACGTACAGCGCACTCACGTTTAACTGAGGGTACCAACTTTCACCGTCATCAAGCCCCTCTAATAGTTTGGGCTGTCAGTTGGACGTCAGCTAGTGCGCTGCATGTGGAACTGAAGTTTTGGGCTGTATTATATGCAATAAAAAATGTAAGACACTTTTTATTTTTTTTTAGAGTGTAAGATTCTCCGAGCCGGGGGAGAGTCAGGGTCGATATGACACATACTTCTCAAACACAGCTGATATTTATTGACAAACATTTCCGTTCATA